AAATTGCATCCCGTCGGCCCTAGATGGCCAGATTCGACCTCCGCGAGCGCGCGCGACGGCGGCGGCGCGAGCGATCGCGCCGCCGCCGCGGCGGCCGCGGCTCGCGCGCGCGGCGTGGGCGCGATGCGACGCTGCGGATGGGCGCGCGCAGCGCGAGAAAAATTGCATCCTCGGCCCTAGATGACCAAAAAATCGACCTCAGACCGCGCGCGACGGCGCGCCGCCGGCCGCCGCGGGGACCGCGCGCGCGCCGCGTTGGGCCGCGGCGTCGGACGAACGATCACCGGCGCTGCGCTCGCTTCGCTCGCTACCGTGGTCGCGGGAGCGAGCGAGCGTCGTGGTTTAATCGTAGGACTACGGCGAAGTATGGCGTGGCGGAGCACGACTACTCTATGTAGTCCTCCAGCAAATCATCGAAGATCGAGGCCGAGGGACGAGCCGAAGCCCCTTCGAAACCCGGCGAAACGACCCCTCCGACCCCTCCTCCGACCCCTCCCGCCTTCTCGGGGCCTCCGGCCCCTCGAAGGCCCGGACCCTCCGACGCCTCCTCCGGGTCCGGACCTTCGGTCCGTTCCGGAGTTTGAAAATTTTCGTGACTCGATCAGGCGGCCATGATTCAGGCCTCGCGCTCGTCACGTTGCCGTCAACGACGTGTGCAACAACGCGGTCAAGAATGCCGCCGCGCGAGGTTCGCGCGCGTTTCGGAGGCGGCACCAGTCCCCAACCGACCGCAACTGCGGCCGTACAAAAACCCGCATTTTAGACGACGTCCCGCGCGGGCCGCGCCGGCGGCTTGTCGTCGCCGCCGTCGCCGGCCTTCTCGTCCTGGCGGCCGTAGACGGACGCGATGGAGGGCTGGACCGCCAACTCGACGGCCGGGTGCCGTTTCCTCCGGCTGAAGGACGCGCGGACGCGGGAGATGCGGCGCGATAGCGTCTTCGGGAGGTCGGAGCGGAGCGCGAGTTCCCACTGCGCGTAGTGCTCCGCCTTCCAGCCGTAGATGAGGAACAGCACGCCGCCCCAGGAGTAGATGAGCACGTGGATCGCGCCGACGTAGCCCGGCGCGAGCCGCTTCGCCGGGTGCTCGCCGCACAAATCCTCCTCGCGGCCCGGCGCGACGAACGTCTGGACGACGAGGCATTCCGCCCACTCCGCGAAGGACTGTTCGTACGCGTCCATGGCGCCGTCGCTCTTCACGAAGATGGCCGTGAGGTAGAGGGTCATGAAGGTCATCCACGTGACGTGCAGGAGCGGTCTATAATACTTGAAGATCCAGTAGTCGCGCAGATCCCGCGCGACGAAGCGCTGGCAGAGCCGGTCGCACGCGGACGCGTGCGCTTCGTGGCGCGGCGACCGCGGGCTCGCGTCGCCCGCGAAGGTTTTGCGGAGCTCGCGGTCGTGGCGCACGATCTGGTAGATCGTGCGCAGGTAGAGGCACGTCGCCGCGGCGACGACGGGGAGCAGCGGGATGTAGAGCACCTGGACCCAGGACCGGTTGAAGAGCTTCGTCGTGCGCGTCACGTCGGCGATCCAGCAGTAGGACCCGCCCGGCCGGTGGCCGAACTCGCCCTCGGCGCCGAGCACGGCCACGGGCACCGCGCTCAGCGCGCAGATCACCGCGACGAGTCGCTTCGACGCGCGGAATTTCCGCGCGGCGCTCGACGCCTCGTGGACGACCGTGTTCCGGTAGAGATCCCAGCTGTCGACGAGGAGCACGAAGGAGGACACGAACCAGGAGAAGGTCAGCAGCATGCCCTGCGCGCTGCACCTGTGCCGAAACCAACCACTGGTTTGGGGGGTCCTGACCAAACTTCAGAATTCTCTAGCTCGATCAAATCCAAGTCGATTCGGCTGATTTTTGGACGGATCGATCGCTCTCGTCGAGTTCTCGAAGCACAGCCGAAGAGCTTGTGTCAAAACATTCGAATACGCTCACATTGAAGTCGGGTTGAAGATTTGGTTTCGGCACAGCGCTGCACGCGTCGAAGCCGTCGACGAGCGCGCGCTGCACCGTGTCGGACCGGCAGAGGCGGTCGCGCCGCGAGACCAAGGCCAGGGAGCCGAGGTGGGGCAGCGTGACGCCGAGCTGCGCAACCAACAAAAGGACGACGCGCGGCTTCTTGCCCCGGTTCTCCTTGAAGCTCACGAACGTGAGGAACGTCCACAGCGTGAGGCCGAAGCTGACGGCCGTCGCCGCGGCCGCCGCGACGTCGATGCGGTCGAACTCGCGCTCCGTGAAGACCTCGAGGGGGCAGGTCAGGGCGCACGTCGGGCCGCCGAAGAACTGCATCGGGTAGGCGCCGTAGAGGAGCGGGTGGCCCTCGGACCAGGCGTCGACGACGGAGAAGTGCGGCGCGCAGTCCGTCGGCATCGCGAAGGCCGGGAACGCCTCGCCCATGGCGCGCGGCGCGGCGCGGCGCACAGGGAGCGCGCGCGGACCTCACGCGAGGAACTCCGGCCTCGTCCCCATCAGTTCCATCATGCTGCCCCGACTATGATGAGCATGTTTACCACCTGGGGTAAAATTTACCCGAGGAAGGCAGCCGGACTGTCTCGCAAATGGGCATCGATATCCGGGGCTCCCGTTGCTCGCCATAAGACCCCCATCGCCATGGCAGCCCCGGCGGCGCGCCTCGACGCGCTGCTCGCGGCGCTCGACGGCGCCGAGGACCTCGGCGGCGCGCAGCCGCTCGCGGAGCTCGTCGAGGAGTGCGACGCGTCCAAGGCGAGCGCGAAGCACGTCGGCGCGCGGCCCGAGGCCGTGGACCTCTGCGCGCGGTGCCTCGCGTGCCCGGCGACGGACGACGAGCGCGGCCCCGCGCACCTCGGCGCCGTCCTCGTCAAGGTCGTCGCGAAGCGGTCGCCGCGGTTCCGGTCCGCCGTCGCCGCCAGGGCGGGAAACGAGTGGGAAAGTCCCAACTTCAAAGGCTCCTATCTCGGTCATTTCCACTCGTTTCGGCTGATTTTTGGACGAGCGATCATCCCTCGGAGCGGTCTCGAAGCGTGGATGCTTTTTCCGGAACGCGCGCGCGCGCGGAACACTCAACTGTTGAAGCGACGTCGAATCACCCCGTTCCTGCCCAGGTCGCCGCGCGCGACGACGTGCTCTTCCGCCTCGTGCGGCTCGCGCGGGAGCATGGGGCCATCGCCGAGCGGGCCGTCTGGGCCCTGGCGAACGTGTGCTTGGACTGCCCAAGAGCAAAAGACAGAGTGCCGGCGCTCGGCGGCCTCCGCGCGGCCGTCGACTGCTGCGGCGCGGATCGCGACGCGGGCGCGCGCGAGCGCGGCGCGCAGGCCGTCGACGCGCTCTGCGCGGCCCACGGGGCGAACCAGGAGCGCGTCTGCCTCGAGGGCGGCGCGCCGCCCCTGTTGGCCCTCTTACGGGACCCGAAGGCGACGGGCAACGGCCGGCTCCGCGCGGCGTTCGCGACGTACCGCCTCGCGTCGAACGCGGCGAACGCCGCGGCGCTCCTCGACGCCGGGGCCCACGTCGCCCTCGGCGCGGCGCTCGAGGACCACGTCGCGAACGGCGTCGACTCGCCGCGGGGTTTGGGCCACGAGGACGGCGCCGTCGCGGCCGCGGCCGCGCTCGCGCTTTTGCCCAAGGGCGGCCACGGCGCGAAGAACGCCGTGCTCACGGTGGCCCAGGCGGACCTCTGCGCGCGCGTCGTCGCCAAGGCGCTCACGGACAAGGCCGAGGACGACGCCGCGGGCCGCGCGATGCGGCTCCGCGACTTCACGATCGCCGCGCGCGCGCTCGCGGGCCACGTGGGCCCGCGCGAGGCCGCGAAGCTCGCGACGGCCCTCGCGGACCCGCTCGTCGCGTGCCTCGCCAAGGACGCGTGGACCGCGCGGGGCGCCGGCGGCGAGGAGAGCGGCGCGTACCGCGCGCTGTGTTTAGGGGACGCGGCGGGCGCGGTGCTCCAGCTCGCGTGCGGCGGCGGGGCCTGCGTCGCGACGCTGCGGGCCGCGGGCGCCGTCGAGGCGCTGGAGCGCGTCGGCGGCGCGGACCGGAGCGACGGCCGCCTCGCGGACGCCGTCGACGGCGCGCTCCACCACCTGCGGGGCGGCGGCGACGACGCCGGCGCCGCGGCGCTCGGCGACTCGAAGAAGTACCACCTCTTCATCAGCCACAAGCAGAGCGACGCCAAGGACTTTGCGCGCGCGCTCCACACGATGTTCACGCTCCGCGGGCTCCACGCGTTCATCGACATGGAGTACGCGGGCGACCTCGGCACGCTCGAGGATATAGTGAGGGCCAGCGTCGTCCTCGTCTTCATCCTGAGCGACTACGTCCTGGACAGCCCCTGGTGCGTGTCCGAGCTGAGCGCCGCCGTCGCGCACGGCGTGCCCGTCGTCGTCGTCAAGAAGGAGGGCAGCCGCTGGCGCGACCCGGAGGCGCCCGAGTCGACGGCGCGGTGCCTGAATTTTCCGAGCTACGCCGAGCTCGCGAAGCTGCCGCCGGCCGCGCGCGACGTCTTCCAGATCAAGACCGTGGAGCACAGCGACGTCTACTACGCGTCCTTCATCGACAAGCTCTTCGAGCGCCTCGCCGAGGCCGGCGTCGCCGACGGCGGCGGCGGCGGCGACGAGCCGGGCACGCCCGGCGACCCGTCGCCGACGCCGTCGCGCCGGAGCCTGAGCTACGGCGCGCTCCGGGCCCGGTCCGAGGCGAGCTTCCGCTCCGCGCCGACGGTCGCCGAGGACGAGTGCGCGTCGGAGAGCCGCGCGTCCGAGGCGCGCGAGGCGCCCGCGGCGCTCCTCCGGGACCTCGCGGACGCGCTCCGCGAGTCGCGCGCGCCGGGCCCGGCGCCCGAGGTCCACGTCACCGTCGCCGCGCCGCGCCTCGCGGACGTCGTCCTCGCCGCCGCCGTCGCGTCGGCCGTCTCCTGCGGCGTCTGCGCGACCTTTTTCTTCCTCGTCGTCGCGCCGAGGCTGTGACCTTATTGCTTCTTGAAGTTCAAGTTGAAGTGGCGCTGCGGGCAACTTGAATTGCGGAAGGCAGGAAGACATGGCTTGTGCTCGCAAGATCCTCGCGCGCGCCCTCCTGCTCGCCCTGGCGCTCGCGTCGTCGGCGCTGCAACCGCCGCGCCGCGCCGCGCGCCGTGCCGCGGCCCTGGGCGCGGAGGCGTCGTTCCGCGTGCGCCGGCCGCGGCGGTCGGCGGCGGCGGAGCTGCCGTCGCCGATCGCGCTGCCCGAGGGCGCCGTCTTCGTCGACGACGACGACATCGTGCTCGCGTCGGCGGTGGCGCGCGTGAGCACGGGCGTGCGGAGCCCCGTGGCCTACGCGCGCGCGGGCCCGCGCGCGGCCGTCGCGCGGGCGGGCGCGGGCGTCGTCGCGGCGGTCGTCACGTGCGGCGGCCTCTGCCCGGGCCTCAACACGGTCACCCAGGAGCTCTACCGGTGCCTGAAGTCGCAGTACGGCGTCGGCACGGTGCTCGGCGCCGTCGGCGGCTACGCGGGCGTCGCCGCGGGCCGGTGGCGGCACCTCGACGACGACACGTGCGACGCCTTGTACGCGCGCGGCGGCACGCTCCTCGAGACGTCGCGGGGCAAGCAGGACGCCACAGCCATGGCCGACGCCCTCGAGGCCGCCGGCGTCGACGCGCTTTTTGTGGTTGGCGGCGACGGCACGATCCGCGGCGCGGCGTACCTGTGCGAGGAGCTCGAGAGCCGGGGCTCGAAAATCTCCGTCGCCGCGATCCCCAAGACCATCGACAACGATATTCCGTTAATCGACCGGTCCTTCGGCTTCGACACGGCCGTCGCCGAGGCGAAGCGCGCCATCGACGTTGCGGTGGTGGAGGCGCGGTCGTTCCCGCGCGGTTTAGGCGTCGTCCGGTTGATGGGCCGCGACGCGGGCTTCCTCGCGGTCCACGCGGCGCTCGCGGCGCCGGGCGACGTCGACGCCTGCCTCGTGCCGGAGAAGGGGTTTGCGGTCGACGGGCTCTTCGAGTACGTGGGCGAGCGGTTAGACGCGAAAGGCCACGCGATCCTGGTGGTGGCCGAGGGCGTCGACGCGCGCGTCACGGACGCCGCGGGGAACCCCGTCGACGTCGACGGCGACATCGGGCCCTGGCTCTGCGCCGCGGCGCGCGCGCACTTCGACGGGTCGCCGGGCCGGGCCGCCGTCTCGCTCAAGTACGTCGACCCGTCCTACACGGTCCGGTCCCAGGCGTCCGTGCCCGCGGACACGATCTTCTGCTCGCGCCTCGCGGCCCACGCCTGCCACGGCGCCATGGCGGGCTACACGGCCTTCGCCGTGGGCACGGTGAACTCGCACTTCGCGGAGATCCCGCTCGCCGACTTCGAGAACCGCGCGGCGATCACGTCCGTCGCGGGCCGCCTCTTCCAGGACTTGGTGCGGTCCACGGGCCAGCCCCAGTTCACCCAGGCCGCGGACTACGCCTGCGACGACGACCTCGAGTCGCCGTCGGGCGGCTGCGTCGTCACCTGGGCCGGGGAATCGACGACGGGCGTCCAGCCCGTGTAAAAAAGACGACCTAGGGCCCAGGGGCCTTGCCGCCGGACGACGACCGCCCGCGCGCGCGCGGGCTCGCGAGGGACGAGATGACGTCGTGGAGCTCGTTGGCCTGCGTGCGCCGCGTGTTCGGGAAGAACGCCGCGCCGCCGTCCTCCTCCTCGTCGTCGTCCTCGTCCTCGCCGCCGTCGTCGTCGTTCGCCGCGACGTAGGACGCGCGCGCGGCCACCATGGACGCGCGCCGCCGCTGCTTCGTCGCCTGGCTCTGGGCCGCGAGGTCCGCCGCGTGCGCGGTCACCGCGGCCTCGACGGCCGCGACCCACATCGCGCGGTCGCGCGTCGAGGCCGCGTAGAACTGGCGCTCGTAGGACTCGCCGTCGTGGTCCCAGACCAGGTTGAAGCGGAAGCGGCCGGGCCGGCTGTCGCCGTCGTCGACGTCGACGGCGCAGCCGTCGAGGAGCTCGCGGCCGATGATCTTGTGCGGCTTCTTCGGGTCCGCGTAGGTGATGAGGGGCCCGACGTTCTCGTCCTCGTCGTTCTCCGCGTCCAAAATGAGCTGGAAGTGGCGCCGCTTCCAGTTGCGCCGGCTCATGAGGCCGAAGCGGCCCGTGCCCTTCTTGTGGAGATAGCCGTCGAGCGCGACGAAGTTGCCGTGGCCGGACGTGTTGACCACGGGCTCAAAAGCAAAATCGTCGCCGTCGTCGGCGACGCCGCGGAAGACGCCGGCGGCGGACCCGCTCCGGAAGTTTCTTCCCGCGCCGTCGCCGCCGCTCTCGGACCAGGACACGGCCTTGGCCGACACCTTGAGCGGCGCGAAGGGCTGTTCCGCGGGTTTTGCCGCGAGCGCCGACCGGGCGCGCTCGACGGTCGTCGCGTCGCCGGCGGACGCCAGCACGCGCGCCAGCACCTCGTTCTCCGACCGCAGGAGGGCCGCGTCGCGCGCGACCATGGTGCTGGTCGGGCAGCCTCTTTTTGGGAACTGTGTGTGAAAGTTGCAGATTCTGCTAACGTTGCACCGCCGGGTTGGCCCTCGCGATCGAGGCTCTAGCTGTAATCCCTCCTAGAGCCTAGCACCAAGCCGAGCATTGGGGTGGTTGCGCCACTTGTAGCCGGCGGCTGGAGGAGGAAGAGCCAACGGGAGTACCAAACAAAGAATGGTTAGTAAGCGCGGGGCGCACAAAAGACGCGCGAGGTCACACGCCGCTGCTTCCGCCGCAGCCGAAGAGCGAGACGACCTCTTCGTCGGCGTCGTCTTCGGCGGCGCCCCCGGCGATTTCGTCGTCCACGAGCTCGACGTCGACGCGGCGTCCCTCGATCTTCGCCGCGCCGTCGTCGTCTTCATCGCCGTCGTCGCCTTCATCGCCGTCGCCGCCGCCGCCGAGGAACTCCGCGAGCGTCGCGCAGCGCGCGAGGTCGTAGAGCAGGTGCGAGGCCTGGTCGTCGTGGATGGACTTGGGCACGAGCTGGAGCTCGACGGCGACGGGCGCGAGGCCCGGCGACTCGAAGACCGCGTTGACGTGGAGGCAGAAAGGCTTCACAAGGCCTCCCAGCTTGTTCTTGAGGCGGCGCACGGAGAAGGTCGCGTCGTCGACGAGCGCGCCGTAGGCCGCGAGGAGCGCGCCGGGCGTGTCGCAGACGACGGTCGCGCGGAGCGCGTCGCCGAGCTTCGCGGCGCGCGGCCACCGGCCGCCGCCGTCGGCCTGGTAGCCCGCGACCTTGACGCGCATGCGCGCCGCGTCTTTCACGGCGGTCGCGCGGTCGCAGCGGAGCGCGTAGGCCTCTCCCGCGAAGAGGGCCGCGAGCGCGGCGCGGAACGCGGGGAACGCCGCGCAGGCGAGCTCGCGGAGCACCTCCGTGCAGACGGCGACGTCGAGGCGGTCCCGGAGCGGCCCGCGGCCCAGCGCCGCCGCGTAGGCGGCGAGCGCGCCGTGCGTGAGCGCGGGCTGGAGCGCGCCGTCGAAGTCGAGGGACGCCAGATCCGCGAGCGCCGGGCACTCGTCCAGGCACGCGCGCGCGTTGCCCTCGACGCGGGCCTGCGCGCGCATGTTCAGGTCGTGCGCGAGCAGCGCGACGTCGAGGAACCGCGGCACCGCGGGCGCGTCGTCGTCGTCGTCGCCGTCGACGGCGCGCTCGGACATTTGGCGGCGGAGCGTGCCCGACGGCCGCCGCCGCAGGGACGCGCCCTCGGCCATCTTCGCGGGCGAGATGTCCGCGCCGGCGAAGAGCGGCGCGAGCAGCGCCGCAAAGGCCGCGGCCAAAGTGCCGCCGGGCCCGAGTGTTTCTTGCGACTCGGGCCGCGTCCGCAGCGCGACGCGCGCGAAGGCCTCGGCGGGCGCGTCGGGCGGCAGGTGCCGCGCGAGCGGGCCCAGCGCGGCGTCGAGCGCCGCCTCGAAGTCGCCGAACGTCGGCGGGCCCGCGCAGACCTTGCGCTCGAAGGCGTCCGCGCGCGCGTAGACGCCCGGCACGTGGTGCTCCAGCGACGCCGCGGGCACGCGGTCGTTCCAGACGGCGTCGAGGGGGAAGAGCGCGGTCGTCGCGTAGGCCCAGCGCGCGTCCGCCGGCGAAGTGACGACGCCGCGGAACGCGAGCTCGAGCGCCTCCTTGGCCTTGGCGACGACGGCGTCGTCGAGGAGCTTGTGGTTGTGGCCGACGCGGAAGCGGGCGAACTCGGCCGCGTCGACGGGCTGGCCCCGCGCGATCGCGGCGATGATCGCGCGGACGCGCTCGCCGCGGAACGCCGCGTAGGCCGTGACGAAGACGGACGCGTTGATGAGAAATACCAGGCTCCCAAACGCGACGCCGTCCTTGGAGCGCTTGAGCAGCTCGCCCTCGATGGCGACGGCGAGGATGACGATGCTCAGCGTCGCGCGGTGGAGCGCCTCGATGATGAGCTGGATGCCCGACGACGCGTAGGGCCGGAACTTGATGACGAGCGTCCGCACGACGATGGCCACCATCGTCGACAGGAGCAGCGACTGGTGGAGCCGGCAGAAGATGAGGAAGAAGCCGCTGAGCATGAAGCGCCCGCACATGGCCGCGATCTCCATCCACCAGAACTCGGGCTTGCATGTGTTCGTCAAAAACCCAAGCGGGCCGTCGTCGACGACGCCGCCGATGCGCTTTTGCGCGCCCCGGCCCACGCGCTTGCGGCGGAGGAGCACGAAGAAGACCGCGGGGAGGCCTACGGCGTAGACGAAGGCCCAGAGCACGGCGTAGATGCGGTAGGCCTGGTAGACCTGGGAGTTGCAGCGGATCTGCCAGTCGGCCGCGAGGTACCGCGCGTTCTTCTTCCCCGCGCCTCGGTCGTAGTGGTCCATCCGGTCTATGTAGGTTTTGTCCCAGTGCGAATGCTTCTTCTGCTCGCTGCCGGTAGGGTCCTCGCACTGGAAGAGCACGAAGATGGACGAGCCTACGAATCATCGATTTCCCGGACGCGGGCTCTCGAACGCTCGGACGGACGCCGGCCGCGACAGATGGCGCTGTGGAACACCGTGACGACGACGAGCCAGCAGTTGAGCACGGCGCGGACCTCGCGGCCGAGCCGTGTCCGCGCGAGGAAGCTCCGGCGCTTCTCGCCGCCGGCCTTTGCACCAGCCCGGCGCCGCGCGCGGAGCGCGCGGGCCGCGCCGCGCGCGACGGCGCCGAGGAGGCCCGCCGCGAGGACCACGGGGAAGACGAGCGTGTAGAAGATGAGGTAGTCGAAGTACTTGACCTTGTGGACGTGGCACCAGACGACGGACCGCAGCGCCTCCGCGTCAAAGGTGAGCCACTCGAGCACCTGAACGTATTCGGGAAGCGGCACCGGCATCACGACCTTGTGCGCGACGATGAACCGCGACGTCGTGATCGCAAAGTAGACCGCCTGCAGCAGCACCGCGGACGCCCACTTGCGCGCGTAGCCCTTGAGCGCGAAGGTCACGGCGAGGGCCACGCCGACCCAGCCGAAGACGACGAGGACGACGCGCGAGATCTCCAGCGCCATGAGCCGCGACTGGTCGCAGGGCACGCACCGCTCGCGAGACCTCCCGATCTTCCCCTCTGCAAGCTCTGCCGAGCGGGACCCCGGCGTCGCTCTGAAGCGGTTGCGCCGGCAGAGCTTGCACAGTGGGCCCTTCGCCCCGCGGCGGCAGAGCGCGGCGCCCCAGGTGTCGCCGGGGTCCGGCGCCGTGCCGTTGCGCCGCCGCGTGCCCGCGCACGCGTCGTCGGCGTCGTCGTGCGAGCAGGCGTAGACGCGCGGCGACCGCGCGTAGAAGCGGTAATAACCCGCCTCGACGGCCATGGTCTCGATCGTCGAGCCCGCGGGGCATGCCGCCCCGTCCGGGCAGGGGAAGCAACTCCCGTAGGCCGCGTCGCGGTAGTAGCCCTCCTTGCAGACGTCGCAGACGCCGACGACGGACGTCTCCTCCTCGCGCGTGCAGGGAAAGCAGAGCGTGGTTCCGTTGTCCAGCGATTCGGTCCCCGGAGGGCATATCTCGCAGCGCTCCGCTCCCTGGACGACACCCTCGCCGACGCGATTGCCGGGCACCGTCGCGAAGGACCCCGCGCCGCAGACCGCGCACGCCGCCGCGCCGCCCGCCGCGAAGGTCCCCGCGGGGCAGAGGTCGCAGGCCGCGGCGCCCGGCGCCGCCGCGAAGCTCCCCGGCGCGCAGGCCTCGCAGGCCTTGGGCCTCCCCGCGCCGGACGACGCGGTCCCCGGAGGGCACTCGGCGCACTCCGTCGACCCGTCGTCGTAGCGGCCGGGCGGGCAGTCGTCCTCGACCCAGGTGCCCTCGCACTTGGCGAAGCATTCGCGCGCGCCCATGCCGTCGGCGCAGGCGCAGACCTCGAGCTCGACGGACGCGATGGCGAGGTTCTCGAAGTACGTGTCGACGCCCGCCATGACGCGGATCTCGAGAGGTTCCATGGTCAGCTTGTCGAGCGCCTTGACGAAGGACCCCGGCCGGCGGCCGCCCCAGGTCGACGCGTTCGCTAGCGCGCCGTCGGCGCCGCAGATCGTCGCGCCGTCCTCGAAGAGGCGTTTCTCGTGCCACGCGTTCGCGTAGAAGAAGCCGTCGGCCGCGCCGCTGCCGCCGTCGCATAGGAAGTCGTCGCCGACGAAGTCGGGCACGGAGAAGAAGGGCGACGACGAGTTGCCGCCGGGCCCCGTGAGCGCCGCCGCGCGGATGGCGGCGCCGGAGTGGCAGGCGCAGTTGCCCGCGTAGCACGCCGCGGACGACGGCAGGCGCTGGAAGCACGTCTCGTAGACCGCCGCCGCGAGGTCCGGGTCCGACGCGTTGAAGACGACGGCGCCGCCGTCGTCGGCCGACGCGGCGACGCCGTCGGCCGTGCCCGCGGCGAGGGTGAAGACATGCGTCCGCGGCTCGCAGCCGACCGTCAAACTCACGCCGTCGACGTAGCGGCCGTCGATGCCCGCGCCGGGCGCGCCGTCGAGCGCGTCGTTCGGGTAGAGCGCGCCCGCGAAGTCGAAGGGCGCCTGGGGGCAGTAGCTCGCCTCGGCGCACTCGAAGGCGCTGAAATCGGAAGGGTGCCAGGAAGCGCTGAGGAACGCGTCCATGGACCCGAGCGCGACGGCGCCGATGCGCCCCCGGAAGCCCGCGACGAACGTGTTCCTCGGCCCCGCGACGAAGGCCGACGACGGCTCGGCGTCCGCCGCGGGCGACGCGCGTGGGTCGGGCGCGCAGACGTAGCGGCCGTTCGCCAGGTACTTCGACAGCGTGCCGGGGCACGCGTCGAGGACGTCGTCGGGCGCGATGTGGCTGCAGGCGCCGCTCGCGGCGGCGGCGGCGGCGTCCGGGGCCGCGTCTAAAGACCGGAAGTGGGCGTCGAAGGTCACGTTCGCGACGGGCACCCAGGCCGGCAGCACGCGGCTCCCGATCTCTTCTTTTCCAGGGAAGTCCTCGCCGAGGGGCTCGGCCTCCGGCTCGGCCTCGCAGGTGCCGCTCGTCCGGCAGGGCTCGGGGATCCAGAGCGTGCACGCGAGGCTGCAGGCGCCCGTCGCGTTGCCGCCGTCGTCGCACTCCTCGGGCGCCGTGACGACGCCGTCGCCGCAGACCGCGGGGTCGGCCGCGCGGCAGCCGTGGACCTCGAGCGTCAGGTAGCGCACCGCGGCCTCCTCGTTGCCGTTGGCGACGACCGTCGCGTTCGTGGCCGCGTCGAAGACCGCGACGCCGCTCGGCTGGCCGGCCATGACGCGCGCCTCGATGGGGTCGTCCGCGAAGTCAGAGAGATTTCTCAGAAAGGTCCCGAAGGGCCGCCCCCCGAAGTCGGATTGCTCGGCGTAGCGCGACCCGCGGCAGAGGTAGCCCTCGTCGCCCCAGAACGCCGACGCGCGGCCGTCGTCGTACCAGACGCCGTTGGCCCAGCCGCCCGTGCAATTCGCGCGCTCGCACTCGTCGAAGGACCGGCAGCCGTCGGGCTCCCAGGGCGAGCCGAAGGCGCAGGTCGCCGGCGGCCCGCGCATGGGGCTGTCGCAGTAGTAGTCCTCGCCGAGCCAGTCCGGCGCGAGGTTGATGCCCGCGTGGCAGACGCAGTTGCCGCCGATCTCGTACCAGAAGTCGCGCTGGAAGTACGAGAGCCCCGCGGCGTACGTCGCGACGTGGACGCGGCCCCCGGGCGTCCAGCGCGCGAGGGCGACGCCGTCGACGTAGGCGTCGTCGATGGTCGCCTCGCCGCGGCCGGACTCGGGCCGGAACGAGTCGGGGCTGCCCATGCCGTAGCCGACGACCTTGCCCCGGACCGCGTCGTAGACGTAGCCCTCGGCGAGCACCGCCGACGCCATCATCGTGTCCTCGACGAGGCCCCGGCCGCAGACGTGGGCGAGGCCGCCGCCGCCCTCCTGGGACGGCACGGCCAGCCGGCGCCAGTCGCCGGGGCAGCCCGCCGTGGCGTTGAGCTCGAAGACCGTGAGCCAGGTCGGCGCTTCGCAGGAGAGGGCCCCCGCGGCGGCGCGCCGGAGCGCGCCGGCGGCGACGAGCCACAACAGCGCGCCGACGCCTAGGCCCATGGTCGTGCCATTGTCAGACACTGTGGGAATCCATCAGCATTACCCCGACAATAGTCGCGAGATATTTCTCAATGCTCTGCGGGGTACAACATTGTCTTCACCGTCTCCCTTCAGCAGCATCGATCTCGTGGCAGCTCTTCATCTCGTGGCGCTCTCCGCGGCCATCAACAAGATGCGCGTGGCCGGTCGCGCTGTGCGTCGCCATTGGCTGCGGCAATGCCTTCGTCCACAAGCCCACGTCGCGGTTACATTACAGCTCGGCGGCCGCGGCGGCGGTGGAGGATGCGGCGCCTGCAGAGCCGGCGCCGCAGCCGACCCGGCGCCCGCAGCCGACGCGGCGGACGCGGCCGCCGCCGCGGCGTCCCTCAAGGCCGAGATCTTCGCGGCCTGCGCCGCGAGCGACCGCGGCTTCGCGGCGTCGGCCGCGGACCGCGCGAACATCGAGGCGCTCCTCGAAGAGATCGCGCCGCTGTCGCCGACGGCGAACGCGACCGCGGGCCTCGCGGCCGGCGCCGCGGGCGCGCCGCTCGCCAAGTGCTGGCGCCTCGTCTACACGTCGGCGTCGGACGTGTCGACGCTCGGCGCGAACCCGCTCGCGGCGCTCGGCGGCATCTACCAGGACGCGCGCGACCTGCCCGTCATCACGAACGTCATCGACCTCACGCCGCGCGCGCTGCAGAACCTGCCGCCGGGCGTCGCGGCGACCGTCGGCACGGCGTCGCGGCTCCGCGTGCGGACGCGCGCGCGGCCGCGCGGCGCGGCGCGGGTCGGCCTGAGCTTCGAGCGCGTCGAGGTCGAGCAGCTCTCCGTCCTCGGCCGCAAACCGCCGGACTGGCTGCCGCGCCTCGGCGTCGACCTGCCCCAGCTGGGCCTCGACGTCCAGCGCCGCGTCTTCGGCGTGTCCGACGAGGCCGTGGACCCGCGCGACGCGGACTCGAACCCGGCGTTCTTCGACGTCACGTACCTCGACGACGACTTCCTCGTCATCCAGCAGGGCAGCCCGGGCGGCATGTTCGCCGCCATCAAGGTCGACGACCTCGCCGACTGAGGACCCGCCGGCGTAACGTCCCCACGAAAGCAAAGTCGGGAGGCCGGTCGACCTTGTCCAATCATGGAGTCCACGGTAGCGCCACGGCAGGAGCGCGAGCTCAGTGTGGTGTTGCAAGTTTGTCAACAGTGCCGATGTGGTGCCCTCAACACGTACCCAAAGTGTCTTACAACCTCCAAGCGCGCTGGAGCAGCCCGACGAGCATTCTCGCACGCAGCAGCGCGTGACCGGCAGCCTTCGCCATGCCGCGTATAATAGGCCCGGCACTCAATCACGTTCAGTTACTCAACCTCGGCATCGGGCTCGCGCTGCTAGCGCTCGTTTGGCGACTGGCTTACATCGTCATCTCTCCGCCTATCTTAGATTACGGGCCCGGTGCAGGCGGTCTGCAGGGAGGAAATGGCCCCCTTTGGGGTATTCCAAGCACATGCGCCTTTATCGCCTACCTCCGGATCGGGGCCTTGCTCGGGAAGAAGATCCCGACGTCCGAGTCGCACCGGGACTACTTCGCCGCGGCGATAACCGTCTACTGGTGGCCCGCGGTTCTTCTTTTTTTCTTGGCGGGGGTGGTGCCCCTGCCAGGGATGGTCCTCTACGGTTTCCAAAACCTCGCGAATCTCTGGCTGCATTTCTTTTCCGTCTTGACCTTCAAGGCGACGCTGCGGGCGAACAAGGACGACCAGGGCGCGTACGGCCTACTCTACCACGGCACCGAGAACAAGCTCGTGTCCGTCGCGCCGACGTCGCCGCAGAAGTCCCCCGCCCCCGGCCCCGTCAAAGAAGTGGGAAAGGTCGTCGTGGTGAGTGAGTAAAGTTCGTCCGAGGGCCTCCGCCGAGCTGCAAAAAGTTTTGCCGGCAGTGTGCGGCGGAAGCCTGAACCAAGTCCTGAACCTCCCCCATCTCCCACCGCTGCGTCAGCTCGCGACCTCGCGTGCGCGGCGTGAACGGCCCGCACAGTCCGAGAACGCCATGGCCCAGGAGGCGAGAGTCGTCGGCGTCGAGGAGGAGTGCGGCTTCCGCTGGCTGCGCCTCAAGAAACTGGCCTACGTGGACCAGACGGGCCGGCGGCGGTTCTGGGAGATGGCGGAGCGGACGACGCGCCGCGGCGCCGTCGACGGCGTGGGCATCGTGGCCGTCGTGCGCCGCCGGGCCTGCGCGCCCCAGGTCGTGCTCGTCACGCAGTTCCGGCCGCCGCTCGACGGACACGTCCTCGAGCTTCCCGCGGGCCTCGTCGACGGCGGCGAGGGCGCCGGCGGCGCCGCGCTCCGCGAGCTCAAGGAGGAGACGGGCTTCGTCGGGACCGTGACGTCCGTGTCGCCCGTCGTCGCGTCGGACCCGGGCATGTCCGCCGCGAACATGCAGCTGGTCGTCGTCGACGTCGACGGCGACGCGCCCGAGAATTTGAAGCCCGTCGCCGAGCCCGAGGAGGGCGAGTTCATCACCGTGCTGCTCGTGCCCCTCGCCGGCCTCGCCGCGCGGCTCCGCGCGGAGATGAAGGCCCGGGGCTACCACGTCGACGCGCGCCTCTACGCGTACGCCGCGGGCCTCGAGCTCGCGGCCGCCGCGCCGAGGACGCCCGCCGCGCCCCGGCTCGCCCTCGCCGCCGCCGGCGGCGCGGCCCTGGCCTTCGCGGCCTTCCACCTGCGCCGCCGCGCCTAGGACGGCGTTATCTAGGTCTCATCTAGGTCGCTTCAACTTTGCTGCAGTATCTGCCCTCGCAGTGGCAATTTTGGCGCACGAAGCGAGCGGTAGCCACAGGAACACGTAGCTTTGCCTCTCCGCGTCGTCGCGTTCCTGCGACCGCCGGCACCATGAAGGCGGACAATTCGACGTTCGGCCGCTTCGACGCCGGCGAGACGTCCATCGTCATCGACGACGTCGCCGCCATCGCGAAGAAGGCGGGCGACGCCATCATGGAGATCTACACGAAGACGCCCCTCGACGAGTGGAAGGCCATCGCGGACTTCAAGGCCGACGGGTCCCCGCTGACCAAGGCCGACACGACGGCGAACACGATCATCTGCGACGCGCTCACGGCCGCCTACCCGAAGATTCCCATCATGTCCGAGGAGAACAAGCTGCTGCCGTACGCCGAGCGGAAAGGCTGGGCCTACTTCTGGTGCGTCGACCCCCTCGACGGCACGAAGGAGTTCATCAAGCGCAACGGCCAGTTCACGGTGAACATCGGCCTCGTCAAGGGCACGTCGCCCCTCGCGGGCGTCGTCTACGTGCCCGCCGCCGAGGACGGCCCGGTCATGTACAAGGGCGTCAAGGGTTTGGGCCCGCCCGTGCGCGAGATCGACGACCCGCTGGGCTACGACTCCTACAAGTCCATCTTCTGCAAGGCCTTCGACGAGAAGGACGCCGGCCTGACGCTCGTCGCGTCCGCGAGCCACAACACGCCGGAGACCGACGCGTTCGTCGCCAAGCGCGGAACCGCGTCATTGATGCTTCAGGCGTCGCCGCGCGCGCGCGCGATGGCGCTCGCCTCTGAACCACGGCCGCGCGCACACCGAGCGTCTTCTACAGGTACAAGGACGCGAAGCTCCAGTCCAAGGGCTCGTCGCTCAAGCTGCTCATGGTCGCCGAGGGCGCGGCCCACATCTACCCGCGGCTCGCGCCGACGTCGGAGTGGGACACGTGCGCCGCGCAGGCCATCGTCGAGTGCGCCGGCGGCGAGGTGCTCCAGCACGCGGGCGGCAAGGACTGCGAGCCGGGCAAGCCCGTCGCCTACAACAAGCCCGAGGCCCTCAACCCCTTTTTCGTCGTCTACGGCAAGCGCGAGGAGCGCAAGGTCATCGTCAAGAAGGACGTCGACCTCGGCGGCGGCGGCTCCGCGGGCCCGTCGCCGGTCATCGTCCTCGGCCTCGTCTTCGGCGTCGCCTGCGTCCTCTACGCCGTCCTCGCCAAGTAGGCCCGCGTGGTCCGGCGCCGCGGCGACGTTCCTAATTTTCCGCCGTTAGGCCATCGCCGCGTCGAGGGGCGCGCCCGCGGCGCCGCACGCGAGGACCGCGTCCACGAGGGCCCGCGTGCCCGCGACCATGGCTGCGACGCGCCCGGCCGACGGCTGGAAGAGGACCATGGACCCGAAGACGCAGGCCGGGCAGGCCTTGGGCCAGTCGAAGAGCGGCAGGTGCAGGTCCTGGGCCGCGCCGCACCCGAGGTCCAGCGGCCGCGCGAACGTGCTCCAGTTCGTCACCGCGCCGTAGGTCGCGCCTAGGTGCTCGACGTTCGACGGCGGCGCGCGGCCGCCGGCCCGTTTGTAGAGGGGGCCCGCGACGCTCCGCCGGATCAGGTCCGGCGTCTCGTAGGAACCCCGCGTGTACGTGACGAGGTCCTCGTAGTTGCCCGCGAGGTCTTCGCCGTCGAAGTCCTCCAGTTTCCCGCGGAAGTTGACGGCCATGAGCGCGCAGTCGGGCTTCAAACAGTTCAGGAACGCGGAGACGACGCAGTCGTTCGTCGAGACGAAGGGCAGCTGCGTCCGTTTTTTCTGCGCCGCGAGCCACGCGCCGTCGACGTAGAAGCCGGCGAAGACGGTCCGCGGGAACAGCGCGGCCCGGAGCCTGTGTGGAAACCAAATCTTCAACCCGACTTCAATGTGCGCGTATGCGACCGTTTCGACGCAAGCTCTTCGGCTGTGCTTCGAGAACTCGACGAGAGCAATCGATTCGTCCAAAAATCAGCCGAATCGACTTCGATTTGAAGGAGCTAGAGAATTCTGAAGTTTGGTCAGGACCACCCAAACCAGTGGTTGAATTCGGCACAGCCCGGAGCTGGCCGAACACAAAACGCGCGAGGAAGCCCGGCGGGCACGCGGCCATGAGCGACGGCTCGCCGCCCGCCGCCGCGCGCATCTTCGCGGGGACGTCGAAGCGCCGCTCCGGCGACAGCGCGCGGACCGGCGCGCCCCGCGAGAGCATGTTGTAGACGGCGTAGAAGCCGTGGCCGTCCACCAGCACGTGGGACGCGGACACGACGACGGCGAAGCGCGCCCCGGGGTCGTCGCGGTCGGGCACGAGCGACACGCGGAAGAGCGGCGCGCCGGTGCCCGCGCACGCCTCGCCCGTGGCGACGAGCGCGGCGGCGACGTTGGCGACCGCGGCGCCGTACGGCGTCGTCCGCGCGAGCGGCGCGTCGACGACGCGGAAGAGCGGCGCGTCGACCGTGGCCGGATAGAAGCACGCGAGCGCGCCGGCGTCGTCGTAGTCGAGGACCGACGCGAGCCACGGGTTCAAAGCGGCGACGTCGGCGACGCGGCTCGCGAGCGCCGCCGCCGCGGCGACGGGGTCGCCCGCGAAGAACGTCACCGTGCTCGTCGACGGGCTCATGAGCAGGACCGCGCCGGTCTCCGACGGCAGGAGCGCGAGCTTGCGCAGGCCCGCGAGCCGCTCCCGGCGCGCGCGCTCCCTGCGCAGCTTCCGGAGGCTCAGGGCGACCGCACCGGCGCCGACGGCCGCCGCGACGGCCGCGCGCCAGTCGTCCTTCACCGCGAGTTTGCGGAGGCGGTCCATGCTGTCCGTGTCATGCGCGACGCTCCCGACGCAGGAGGACGGCCAGCCGCGGCGCGGGGCTCCAGGGCCGCCGCGGCGGAGGCTCAGATGGAGGCTGCCCCATCAAGTTGACGTTCAATATAAACGGTGTAGCGCTCAATCCTATGCCTGGGTCCTCGGTCTGACGGCCGCGCTGATCTGCCGCGCTGCAGCGCGAAAACATCAGTCGCGCGCTACGCTAGCATCACACTCGAGCACAACTCTTAGGTGGCAGCGGGCTGGATTTGGACAGGTTGCTGCATCACCGGCTGCGTGGGGATCGCGACTTGGAACGTCGAGCCGGAACCGCACCCAGCCGGGATCTGAACCTGAATCGCCACGCCGTTCGGCGCCGTCACCTGCAGCGTCTCTCCGGGGCTCGCGCCCTGCGGCACCGCGATCGAGAAGGCGGCGGCGGGCTGGATTTGGACAGGCGGCTTTGCCACCAGTTCGAAGCCGATCCGCTGCGCCTCCTGGATTTTGCCTTGCCCCAGAAGGTGTTGCTGGATCATCGCAAGCTTCGGGTGGGGCATTTCGACTAGGAAGGTCGAACCGGCGTCAAATCCATCAGGGACTGGCACTTGCACCTGGAAGCCGTTCGGCGCAGCCACCGGCAACATCTGGCCTTGTGCTAAACCCGGCGGCACCTGCACCTGGAAGTACTGCTTGGGCCGCGGACAGCACGGGCAGTCGCCGCCGCCGCCCTTAGCCTTACTACTATTACTACGCCCCATATTATTACAGCTGCGGGAGTTTCCCCTGCATATTGCAGTGCACGCTGAAGTGGTGATGTTATTGTGAACCTCGATCGTATGCCGCAGTCCATTCTCTGACGGGAGCTCCGCAGCACGGCACTCGCAAAACGATGCCTGCCCGCGAGGCGGCCTTCCGCGCCGTCGTCGCGGCGCTGAAGGAGCGCAAGAAGACGGTGGCCGTCGTCGAGGCGACGTGCGGCGGGCTCATCTCGAGCTCCATCATGGGCGTCGAGGGGTCGTCCGCCGTCTACTACGGCGGCACGGTCGCCTACAACACGCGCCGGTGCAAGCCGCTGCTCCTCGACGACGACGCGCTGCACGCGTCGCTCGTCGAGCCGCCGATCGCGCCGAGGGCCGACGGGGAGTCCGCCGGCGACTACTACAAGCGGACGAAGGCGCATTGGACGGCGAGGACGGCCGTCGCCTACTGCGAGGCCATGGGCACGGACTACGCCGTCGCCGAGGGCGGCGCCGCGGGCCCGACGTTCCGGCCCGACGGCCTCGACCGCGGCTTCTCGGCGCTCGCCGTCGCCGCGCGCGACGGCGACGGCGGCGTCGGCGTCGTGAGGACGGCGCTCGTGGAGTCGCCCCACGCGAAGCGCGGCGCGAACATGGAGCTCTTCGCGACGGCGGCCGCGCGCGAGCTCCTGGGGGCCGTGACCGCGGGCGAGGGCCTCGACCGAAAGGTCGAGCTGCGGACGGACGGCGCCGCCGTCGACGCGCGGCGCGCCTCCGGCGACGCGCGCTTCGTGGTCTGCGCCCGGGGGCGCATGCTCTTCGCGTCGGAGACGGCCCTCGCGCTGCTGACGCGGGGCGAGGCCGACGGTTTTGGGGATAGTGGCGCGGCGGTCTTCCTCGGCGAGGCCGGGGGCCGGCCCCTCTTCGCGCTGGAGGCCGCGCGTTCCTTGGACGACGCGCGCTTCGTCGACGCGCGGACGCAGGCGCCCTTCCTCGACGCGACGGAGAACGAGGTCGCGCTCTGCGCGGCGGCGCTCACGACGTGGCGGCGGTCGAACGGCTTCTGCGCGAAATGCGGCGGCGCGACGGCGCTGACCATGGCGGGCCACTGCGCGAAATGCGTCGCGTGCGGGTCCGTGTCCTTCCCGCGCACGGACCCGGCGGTCATCGTCGCCGTGAGCTCGCTCGACAACTCGAAGATCCTGCTCGCGCGGTCGCCGCGGCACCCGCCGGGCATGTTCACGACGCTCGCCGGCTTCGTCGAGGCCGGCGAGACCTTCGAGAAGGCCGTGGCGAGAGAAGTACACGAGGAGAGCGGCGCGGTCGTGAGCGACGTCGCCTACCTCAAGTCGCAGCCGTGGCCGTTCCCCCAGTCGGCGATGATCGCCTTCCGCGCGTCCGCGGACGCGGACGCGCCGCTCGTGCTCGACGAGGAGGAGATCCTCGAGGCCCGGTGGTTCGACCGCGACGCCGTGCGCCAGGCCTGCACCGTGCCGGGGGCCGTCATGCGGAAGGACGTCGCCGCGAAGGCGTTCGCGGACGACCCGAGCCTGGAGCTCCTCGTGCCGCCGAAGAACGTCGTCGCGCGCGACCTCATCGAGAAGTGGCTCCACGAGGAGTGAGGCTAACCATGTTTAGGCTACGGTCGTCGACGACGCCACGCCACAAGCCTTACGACGGCCCCCGTCCGACGCGCAGGGCCCGCGCCAGGAACCCGCCGACCTCGGCGACAGCGGCCGCGCTCTCGTAGAGCCGGCCCCGGCCCGCGGCGATCGCGGCGGCCGCGGCGGCGCGGCGCGCGGCGTCGTTCGCGATCGCGACGGCCAAGCGCGCGTAGGCCTCGACGTCCGGCGCGACGAGGCCGTCGACGCCGGCGATGGCGTAGAGCGCGCGCGTGAGCGCGGGCCGCGCCGCCGCGCCCGCCGGCGGCGCGAGCGCGACCACCGGCGCGCCCGCCTCGAACGCGTCGAGCGTCGTGATCGAGCCCCCAAAGGGGAAGGTCTCGAGGGCGACGTGGGACCCGCCGAAGAGGCGCGCGTAGTCCTCCAGCGGCAGCGGGCCCACGCCGAGGACGCGCGCCGCGACGTCGACGCCCGCGCGCGCGAGGCGGTCCGCGACCGTCGGCGACCCGTCCGGAAAGGGCCCGCACGTCCGCAGCACGAGGACCGCGGCGTCGTCGAGGGCCAGGATGCGCAGGAGCGCCGCGTCGAAGCGCGGGTGGAATTTCAGGCAGTGCTGGGGCGCCGCGTAGAGCGTCCGGTTCGCCGGGACGCGCCGCAGCGCCGCGGACTCGGCCGCGTAGGCGTCGCGCGGCTTCCCCGGCCGGAGCTGGCCGGACTCGTTCGCGTGGTAGTAGGCGCCGAGCGTGTCGAGGCGCACGAGCTGCTCGCTGTAGCGGCCCTGGGGCGCCTCGACGCCGGGCTCCGCCGCGTCCATGAGCAGGTAGTAGTCCAGCGCCTGGCCGCCGATGCCGGTCGTCGTCGGGTGGCCCCAGAACGCGACCTGGACCCGCGCGTGCCTTCCGAAGGCGAGCGCGTAGGAGAAGGGCTCCATCCCAATGTCCGTGAAGACGAGGCAGTCCAGACCCTCGCCGGCGAGGAGCTGGCGCGCGCCGTCGAGCGACGCGGGCACCTCGGCGGAGCCGTCCGCGGAGTTCTCGATGTCG